GGAAAGCTAAGGATATGGTGGTATTCAAATATGGTCAAAATCATAAAAGTGTACTCCACAGACTGAAGTTTGGAAAACACCACCTCTCTAACACATGCTCTGTTGAAAGAGCTGCTAGGGGAGGTGGCTCCATGTCTTTCTTATGGGAAAAGTGCATGGGATTTTTGAGAACTTTTTTTTTTTTAGGTGAGTGGTGGTTATGAGTGCTAGATTTTTTAGGTTGCCAGTAGTCTGCTTTCCAGTTAAGTGGAACAAAGCAGTATCCCTTTAATGGTTCCAGAGAGTTTTCTGTCTGACTAAAAGATTGGTACAATACTAATAATCTCACCAAAAGTGATATGTTTGTTATGTTTAATGTTTTTATCTTTCTTTTTGTTTTTGGACCATTCCTGGAAAGTTGTGATGATCAGGACAGAAGCAAAAAGTGCTATCACTGTGTGTGTTCAGAGTGGTCAGTTTCACTGTAGTAGACCCTTCCAGTCACTGGTTGCCTTGGCAATGTCACTAACTTTTTTTAAGAGACAGACATAGGGGCCCACTTGTGGAGGCCAGGATAAACATGTTACCAACTTTGCTGTGGGTGCACCTCAAGAACATGATTTGGTTTGTTGGGGTCAAACTTGAGTGGCATGGTAAAAGTAATCAGATTTAGATGAACTGGATTTGGGATGACAAGTAGCTACTTATTGGCCTCTCCAAGTTGAAAACCAAAAGTTAAAAAAAATCTTTGCCCTAAAAGTAAGACCTAAAACTATGAAATTCCTAGAATAAAACAGAGAGAAAATCCAGCAATCTCATTTCTTGGTATTTATGTAAAAAGAATCCAAAGCAGTATCTCAAAGAGATACCCATGTCCATAGCAACATTATTCACAGTAGCCAAGAGGTGGAAGCAACCCAACTATCATTTGATGGACAAATAAAAAACCAAAATGCAGTATATACATAAAATGGAATATTATTCATTCTTAATAACAAAGGAAATCTTAGCCGGGCACAGTGGTGCATGCCTGTAATCCCAGTGGCTCAGGAGGCCGAGGCAGGAGGATCTCAACTTCAGAGCAGCCTCAGCAACTTAGCAAGGCGTAAGCAACTCAGCAAGACCCTGTCTCTAAATACAATATAAAAAAGGGCAGAGGTGGTGGTGGTGGTGGCTGGGGTTGTGGCTCAGTGATGGAGCGCTTGCCTAACATTTGTGGAGTACTAGGTTCAATTCTCAACACTGCATGTAAATAAAAAATAAAGGTCCGTTGACAACCAAAAAAAGATCTTTTTAAAAAAGGGCTGGGGTGTGGCTCAGTGATTGAGACCCTTAGGTTCAATTCCCAATTAAAAAAAAAAAAAATATATATATATATATATATATATATATATATATACACACACACACACACACATACATACACACACAGAGACATATATATGAATATGTGTTATGTATTAAACATACATAAAATAAAAATCTTTGACATGTAATCTTTTTTATAATGGTAAAATATACATGATGTAAGATATACCATCTTAACTACTTTTATGTGTATAGTTTGGTGACATTAAATACATCCACCTATTATATACCATCTTAACTACTTTTATGTGTATAGTTTGGTGACATTAAATACATCCACCTATTGTACAACCACCACAATCCAGATGACATATAATCTTTAATGTAGAACTATAAAACTAAAATAGTAGAATTAACTGCTGAGCAGGTGGTGAAAATACAAAAACTGAAACATTTCAAATATTCTTTGTGTAGGAACAACATAAGTGCCTCTGTGAGCCCATTAGCTACTCTTTTTGTGCTGGCTCCCATATTACTCCACTTTCTGGGATGATGGCAAGGAAGATTACAGAGGACATACAGAGCATCAAACTGCCTAAATTGCTCTGAACTCTAACCTATACCTCCAGGAGAGTAGATTCCCAGCTCTGAGTTCTTGATATCTGAGTTTTCCTCCCAAGCAATAATGCCAAAGTCAACTAGGTGAGGCAACATGTGACCTAACAGTGAATGCCACCAAGTCAGCCAGAGAAGCAAGGCCAGCCGTACCCAGAAGTTTCCCAAGCCCACAAGCTCAAAAGAACCCTTTTGATAAAAGCCACACTGTTCTTCTTCATTGAATTATTCTTTGTCTGTAGCACAATCCTGTCCCAAATGTCTCTCTGAATTTCACTCCAACATAGAGCCAATTAAATCCCATGCAGCTTCACCTCTCATGACTCTTTTTTTCAGGGGGAAGGGTAACCAGGGATTGAACCCAGAGGCACTCAGCCACTGAGCCACATCCACAGCCTTTTTCTGTTTATTATTTAAAGGCAGGGTCTCACTGAGTTGCTTAGTGCCTCGCCATTGCTGAGGCTGGCTTGATCTCAAGATCCTCTTGCCTTAGTCTCCCAAGCCGCTGGGATTACAGGTGTGTGCCACCATACTTTTTACTTCATTAGCAATATGTTTTTTCTCATTGTAATATCATTAACATAAGGAACATAAAGTTGAACTAGAGTGAACATGACTTTTTTTTTAACTAAAAAAGACACAATATCTTTATTTTTATATGGTGCTGAGGATCGAATTCAGGGTCTCACACCTGCGAAACAAGTGCTCTACCACTGAGCTACAGCCCCAGCCTGTGAACATTACTTTTTAACTCTGGATCCTCACCATGTTCTTGACCACCCTCACTTCCAAGATCAAAAGAATGAAAAACAATTCCACATCACTGCTGTTTTTTCTATTTTGCCTCTCTCCTGCAAGGTCTGAATAACCTGAATTGTTCCTGAATTCCCTAACCTAATGTTTTTCATTTGCACTAGTTCACATTGATTTCTTTCCCCCTTTTATGTAATATTTTTGCCTCTAAATTGCCCTAACAAACACTATTTCCAATTTAACATAGTGATTCAAGGAACATAGACACAGAAAGACATGAATAAGGTAGTTTTTTTGTTGTTGTTGTTTTTTGTTTATTTCTTTGTTTGTTTGCCCTTAAGGAATTCTCAGTCTAACAATCAAGACAGACATATAAAGAAATAACTATAACATAGTCTGACAAGGGCACTGGTGGGAGTAGGTACAGCACAGAGAAAGGGATGATTTACTAGGCAGGGAAGGAAATGAAGGCCTAGTGGCCTGACAGAGTGGCAGGGTCAGAAACTTACAGTAGTTCTGACATGCCAAAGCAAGCTGCACAAAAGATAGCATGATAAGAGTGAAATATGAACCCATAGGCAGAGGCCAGACTGTGAAGATTCTTTTATATCATGTTCAGCAATGGCAGAATGCTGTAAATTTTCTTTAAAATTTTGTAGGATTAATATATATCTCTAAAATAAGTATAAGTTGTATTTCATTCCTTAGTCTTAAGAGCTTGTTTAATTTTATTTCATAGTTTTTCAGTTCCTTTGTTTAGAAATCAGGGTCCAAATATTAAGAGTAAAGCCAAATGAATCATGGAATAATTGCCACACAACCAGCCAGGGCTGGGATGTTTACATGGAAGCCCAGCTGTTTCTTCAAAGTCCAGGATCATTATCTTTGTTTTCATTTCTATTCATCATAATGAAGAAAATGTATTAAAAGTAGAATATTAGTTTAAATCCAAAAGAAGATGAAAATTGGAGGAAATGAATTCATCCTGGCTTGTAGAGCTTTTCTGTTGAGTATTTTATTTTAGTCTGAGAAGTTGGCATAAATACCCACTGATGGTGAATTTCTTTTCCATCACGTGGATATTAATGTAAGGGGAGGAGGGGATTTCCTCTGACCCTTCTTCCTCGTCTGCTTCTTAACCTTCTTCCTGTGTTCAAATCAGCCGCAGTTCTTTTCGAGACTCCACTGACCACACTAACAGAAGGCCAGGAGCCAACTCAGCTCATACCTGGAAGTAATTTTATGTGTATTGCAACTCAAGAGATGATCAAAGTGCAGGCTTATTTCTAGATAACAATTCTGAATGTTTTCCATAAAATAACAGACATAATTACAGAAAATAAGCTAATTATATAAACTAAAGTTGCTATAATATTAAGAATATTTTCTAAAATAATGCATTTTTTTCTTTTATATTCTAGTCTATATAAATAGTGCTATTGTATAGTACAGATTTCTACAAGTCCTTCAAATGATAATTCAGTTGCATATCAATTTTACATTTAGACTTCATCTACATTTAGATTTTTACTTGTTATAAAGAATTTCTTTATAACTTTAAATTTCAATTCCTTTACTGAAACATTTATATAAATGCCACAAGAAATTGTATTTTTAGCATTTCAGAGAAATCATGGTACTTTTGAAGACTAATTGGAAATAAGAAAGCACTTGATGATTCCTATTTATCAAATGCCACTTCTTCCATTTTTAGTTTTAGATTTGTAGCAGGCACAGTGGCTCATGCCTATAATCCCAGCAACTCAGAAAGCTGAAGCAGAAGGATTGCAAGTTTTAAACCAGCATCAGCAACTTAGTGAGGCCCTAAGCAACTTAGCGAGACGCCATCTCAAAATAAAAAATAAAAGGGGCTGGGAATGTGGCTCAGTAGTTAAGTACCTTGGGTTCAATCCACAGTACAAAAAAAAAAAAAAATTGTATGAATTTTGGGTTTTTTAGAAATTACGCATCTCATTGTATTCAACATAAAAACAATTGGCTCTTTGAATTATTATGTATTTTATATTTGTCTTCAATATCTACTAATGGAACTATAGTCCCTCAAATGAAACCTTAAAAAGTAAAGCTGCCTCAATTGGAAAAACAACATATAAGGCATTGTATTTCTGCTTTAGGACATATTGTTAATATATCAGCTCATAAGATCACTTTTGCTTTCTTCTGAAATAAGTTTAGAAAATATATAATACAAAATAGTGTAACTTTTTTGAGTTTAAGCCATATGGATATTTTTCCTACTCATTGGTATTATTGTACATAGATAGAAATAATGTATAATTAAATCCTATTAATGTGCAAATTTCTCTTTGCTTTTGATATTTTAGCTTCACCAAATCCAGAAGTTATCAAGATAAATTCAATTCTGGATATAGTAACAAAAGTGGAAGACTATTATCTTAAAGGATATGTTGTTGGGGCCATTCATCCTGCTATACAATCTGTGGGGCAGCGAAAACACCTACCAGCAAGTTACCTATATCGGGTGGTGCTATTGCGCTTGAAATTAAGGTAAGCATGATGCTCAAGGAAACCATCATGCTACAATGCAGTTAAAAATGAGTTTTCTTTGCCTAAAGAAAAATAATTTTGAAAAATGGTGGAAAGTAAAGAAAAACTAGAGATTTAGGTTTAAGACACATTTTTCAGCAGTTGAAACTGGACTGAAGCAAGGAAATTCATACCTCTCCTCCTTAAAACTCCTAACTGACCCTAACTCCTTGCAGGCCAACAGGTTGCAGGTGAGGATGGCAGTAGACAAAAAGAAAGCAAACTAGACTCAAGGCACCTGGAAACTCCTGTAGCAAATAAAGCACGTGAGAGAGTAGCAGTTAGCTATAAGTATTATCACTGGACTAACCATACTGACCTGAGCTATGCAGTCCATTCTCACTGAGCTCTTTGAACTGCCATATGTTGTTTTATTAATAGTAGCAACAGAAACTATCTCCTCATCTAAAACTTTACAGCAGAAAGATCAATTAGATCAGGTTCTCACAAATTAGACAAACTGATTATCAACTTTTTTCACCAAAATTTTTTGGGGTTTTTTTGCACTGAGGATAGCACCCATGGCCCTGCACATGAAATATAAGATTTTAGAGTCATCCATTTTATCTTATTTTTTCAAAAATATTAACAGCTACTTTTTCAAATAATACTACAACAATTTTTGCCTGTCTAGATTGCAAATTCAATGGTTTTTTTTTTTTGAATGAGAATTTTTTAATATTTACTTTTTAGTTTTCGGCGGACACAACATCTTTGTTTGTATGTGGTGCTAAGGATGGAACCCGTGCGGCACGCATGCCAGGCGAGCGCGCTACTGCTTGAGCCACATCCCCAGCCCACAATGGATTTTTTTTAATGGTAAAAATATTGTTGCTCTTACCAATGAAGAATGGAAATAACCAGAACAATGTCTTAAATTCGCTTTTTTTTTTTTTTTTCCAGACAGGGTTTTACTAAGTTGCCCACACTGGCCTGGAACTTGCAGTCCTGTGACTTGCGACTAAGCCTTCTGAGTCGCTGGTATTACAGCCATGTGTCACCTTGCCAACAATACATTAAATTTTTTTTATACAACTCTTAAAAACCATCTCTAAGACCAGAGTAAAAACTTCTTTCTTTTTATAGTGATGGAACAATAAAATTGCTTTAACTATGAAATGGCTAAGAAAAGAAAGAAATAAGAGGAAAAGGATGAGAAAATAGGAAAATTTAAATAAAAAGAAAGGGCTTTAAACAATCCCAGGTGTGCTTTTAACAGACACTGTCTGCTACTGAGAAGTTGCTTCCCTATACATGTCTAGCAGTGGGTGTACAGGTTTCAGTTTTCTCTAAGAGACAGAGTCCCATCAGGTATTTATTAGTTAAAGCATTGCTAAACAAACATGACATAGTTTTCACCGTGTATAAATAATCTTTTCTGTTTATAGCATTATTCAAATAGATGTTTTTTAATGTGACTTCTTTTTAAAATTGTTTTTTAGTTGTAGATGAACACAATACCTTTACTTTTTATTTTTATGTGGTGCCCGGGATTGAACCCAGTGCCGCAAACATGCTAGGCAAGCGCTCTACCACTAAGCCACAACCCTAGCCCCGCAAATAGATCAAAAGTGCCCTAACAAAGTTGAAAATAAGCAAGGGCCTGGGGCGGTGGCACATGCCTATAAACCAGCATAGATGTTACTATGTGTTTCTGATATTTTTATATGAGAAGATAGCCATCAGACTTGAAATAACAACAAAAAGATTGTTTTGGACCTTATTTGTGAGTTCTCACTCATTTTCATATTCTCTCTGTTACAGCCCGAAGCATTCAGCAGCACCCAGGGTACAGAGACACCCAAGACTTGTGATTGAGGAATGTCCTCTAACTTATGAGACACAAACAAATGACATGGCTAAAGAACTGATAGAAAAGGTACTAAATACATACATTTTTCTTGTGATGTTGAAAAAGTTTGGTATTTCTTCTTTACCAATTTTCCTTTTTTTCTTTTAGAGAAATAATAGATAACTCAATTTACCAGAATTTATTTATTTTTTTAATCTTTTTTTTTTTAAAGAGAGAATTTTAATATTTATTTTTTAGTATTTGGCGGACACAACATCTTTGTTTGTATGTGGTGCTGAGGATCGAACCCGGGCCGCACGCATGCCAGGCGAGCGCGCTACGGCTTGAGCCACATCCCCAGCCCAACTTACCAGAATTTAAAATGTATTGAAGCACTTGAACTAAATTGTATGGTGTTAAAAACAGAAATACTGGCCTGTGAAACAGAAGATACCAGAAGTAAATTTAATCACATACAGAAAACTTAATGACAAACCTGATAATAAAAAAATGGAAGAATAGGCATTTTTTAAAAAATAACTTTATTTTTTTATGTAGTGCTGAGGATTGAACCAAGTGCCTCACATGCGCGAGGTAAGTGCTCTATCATTGAGCCACAACCACAGTCCCAGAATAGCCATTATTTAATAAATTCTACTGGGAAAGTGAGCAGTCATTCTATATAAAATAGATTCTACACATTTCAGATGAGAAATAGATTATGAATAGATTTAGGAATTTAAGTATAAATGAATTTTATACAGAAAAATTAACTTCTAAAAAAGTATCAAGGTGAAATCTGCAACAAATGTTTTGCATCAGAGCTTCTTTCAAAATACACAGAAATAAATATAAATACACTAAAGTAATGTCCAGTCTTAAATGGACAGAGTCCTGTAGGCAGCACATGCAAATGGAAACAAGAGCTGGCAAAAGATTCAACCTAACAGTCTTTAATATAAATAAAACCAAGAATTAACACATCACCAGTATTAAACTGGAAAAATAAAATTATTAAATCCAGTATTGGCAAAACTTTAAGAAAAAAAGATCATTTTACAACTGGTATTATAATAAATTGATAGTGTTCCTGAATATCAACTTAGTAATAAGAATCACAAGTTCTACTTTATTTTTCTAACCTGGTAATCTCGTTAGGAGGCTACTGCAAGAAAATACTTGAAAGGAAAAAAAGTCATTTCTGTACAGAGATAGTTAATCAACAGTGATTAATGAATCACATTTCCAAAAACTGAAAGATTTCCCAAGGAAACAATGGTATATCAATACAATCAAATATTTTATGGGCTTTAATGCAACAACTAATTGTTAAGAATGAAATATCTGACAATATAAGTTAGTTGAAACAGATGAAAAGTTGAACACTGAGGTTGATTAAAACCAAAAAAAAGTATGTATTCATAAATATTCTAAATTTGGTGGTATTTTGTGGGGTTTGGGAGGGTTTTTGTGGTTTTTTGTTTTTTTTTTTTTTTTTTTTTTTTTTAGCCACATTGATCTATGTGTAAGGTTTTAGCTTTTGTTTGAATGCACACAGCCATGGGCTGGGGTTGTGGCTTGGAGGTAGAGCGCTTGCCTAGCACGTGTGAGGCACTGGGTTTGATCCTCAGCACCACATAAAATAAAAAATAAAGATATTGTGTTCACCTGTAACTAAAAAATAATTTTTTTTTTTTTAATGCACACAGCCAAAAACCTAAGGCATTTCCTTTCAGGTAACTGAAATTTATTTGTTATTGCTTACATACTTTAAATAACCATGTATGTAAGATTACCTGTAGTTTGTGTATAGCCAGTTATAGCTGCTAATAATGTTTCCCATCTAGGTATAAAGTAAACATTCAATAAGGGTTTTTAGGAATGGTCTTCGAGACTTGATTTTTTATAAACAAAGTACACATACTGTTTACTGCTACTATTCTGGGAGATTTTTTTTTTCCCCTGGAATAAATCCACTCCAGAAAACTTCTTTGAAAACAAAAATGTAGCTACTAATTTAGACTTAACAGATCACCGTCAGAATCCTTGTTTTCATTGGACTTCCTGTTCACAGTCAAAGATCTATTTAAACAGGAAAGTACTGTTATTTCAGCAATTAGAGTAATGGGGTTATTTCATGAATAGAAAAGCTTCAGGAAACATAGCACATGAAATATTTGAACATTGCCCTGAGTATGAACAACAGCAATATATGAGTGCCAAATATTATTTTTGAATGGCTGCCTTATGTAGAGTTGATAGTTGAACATTTAGCTTTCACATCAAGCTTAAACATTATACCAATGTTTACTGTTTTTAAAATTAGATTTTCAAGTGTTTCCCTCACCTCAGAATTTTGAAATTAAAATGGCATTTTAAAAATATCAATCATCCAACTTAAAAAATGGAAAAGACATTAATACTATATTTGTTACCAGACCTTTCCAAATAAGATTTTCTAGTAATAGAAAAATCTAACTCAAATCAACTTAGAAGAAAACACAGGTAATAAATTCACCCACTTCCACCTGCAAAATGCTATGCCTCCTTACCCAACCCTCCCTCCCCCTTCTCTTCCAGGACCCCTGATAAAAATGAAGTTTTGTGGTTAATTTTTTAAGGTTTAATGCACCGTTATAAGTTTAATATATTAATTTATAGGAATAAATGAGTTTGTGCCAACCATAGTTCTTTGTCCGACTTCACACCATCATAGCCTCCCCCCTCCTCAAATTTTCCTGCCTCTTCATCTGAAGTTGAGTTAAATTTCATTCTTTGATTGGGCTCTTGATTTTTCCCCCAGATCTTCCTGGCCTTTTTCATTCTATTTCTAACTATAGATGTTTCCATTTGAAATCTCCATCATAACCCTTCTCACCTTCCCAGGTAACATTTAAAACATGTAATGGTAATCTTATAAAAGGCATTGCTTATCTTTTATTTTAATTTATATAACAAATACTTATGGAGCACCTGTAACTACAAAACACTGCAAAACAAAGATGAATAAGACCCAACCTCTGCTCTCAGAAGACTTGCCAGTTGAATAGAGGAGAAAGGCATAGACACAAAGAGAATAAAGAAATGAAGGAAAAGCAGAAAAGAAAATGCCTTAGGTTTTTGGTAGTATGCATTTAAATGAAAACTAAACCAACTGTTTCAAAATCCTATCCTTTAATTGATAGGATTGAATCTAATTGTTAGTATTTGGCCCAGATAGGAGACAACAATACCAAGATACAGTGTTAGCAGATACTTAGTAAGTAAGTATATAAGCATAAGTACATAAGCAAATGCCCATGAACTCAGAAAGCTTCAGAAGAATTGTGCTATGAATTGGGCTTATGATCTGTATGAACACATTAGTCTTATAATGTTTTTCTTTATCAACATGGAACAAGTACACTTTTCTTTACCACACATAGAGTACTGCATGAGTTTTGCTTTTAAATTAATTTTCCCATAATGAAGATGTATTTGGTTACTTGTGGAGATTTTTAGAATAGTTTTTTTTTTTAGTTGTAGATGGACACATACCTTTATTTTATTTACTTATTTTTATGTGGTGCTGAGGATTGAACCAGTGCCTCACACATGCTAGGTAAGCGCTATACCACTGATCTACAACCCCAGCCCTTAGAATTGTTTTTAATTTTGCTCCAATTGGAAAGATCTTATTTCATGGCCTCTAAAGATCTTGCTATAAAAATTACAAGTTCTTCCCAACCGTGGCCTTTCAGAGAAAAACATAGCTCCTCCTTTTATAATGTCTAAAGTACATTAGTTATGTTTGAAGAAATCATGATGATAATGTGCTCTAACCTATGGAGTGCTGTTTTAAGGGTTATTAAATAATTTATAATGGGTCTTTAGTTACTGGTCAACTTACTCAATCTTCTAATGGATTTCCTTCATAAAGCTAAGGGTTAATTGATATTCAGTGCAAATGGAGTTTACATCTTGTTCTGCCATCTCTTTTCAAACCTCAGATTAATGTCGCTGCTAAAAAAGGAATGAAATTTGTTGGATTCATATCACAGCATTATCCACCACCTAAATACTGTAATGGAACCAACTATGATGGAGATATAGAATCAATGCTGCATGTGAGACATAGTTCAGATGAAAACTGTAAAAGTTGGAATGAAGGAACATTAAGTGGGCAATCGTCTGAAAGTGGAATTGAAGAAGAACTTCATCATGAAAGTGGACAGTATCAAATGGAACAAAATGACAGCCCCAGCTCCTCTAAACTAAGAAAGGGAGAAGGTAATCCATGAGTAGTTTAAATTTAGAAAAATACATATTCGAGGTTTTATTAAAAAGAAATACAAGGCAAAGTAAAATTATAAAGAGTATAAAGACTAAATGAGCTAATATAAATTTTGTCATGATTTTAAAAAGATCATTACAGCCAGAGATAAGGCAGCACAGCATTTTAGACTGCAATTCTTCCTAGCAAATGATACATATAATGAAACCGTGTTTAAGATTGATTTTCATATAGTCATACAAAACTCCCTTGTGAAATGGAGGGTTCTATGTGTGCCTGAAGAAGTAAGTCTATCAGGAAGCTGTATTTACTGTTGTCCTTATAAACAATGCATGAGAAATTTAGTTTGAGCCTTTCTCATTTCATGGATGATTTTCATCTTTGAAATTAATTGACTTTCTTTGGTCAGCAACTAACATATGACAATGGCCCATCATGATGAAACAATTATTATAACAATAGTACCCACAGCCTAGAATAACTTCAAACAATAGTTTTATTCTTCTTTGCCAAATAGCAAGTTTTCCCAAGAAATTGAGAATATTTTATTCCTTTATTTTGGACTTTTTAAAGTTTTGTGATGACTTTTCAGCATGCTTCTTAAAAGCATTATCAAAGAAAATCAAAGACTTTGTATACCTTTGAGTTAATAGCATGGGCACTGAAGTCAGATACCTCAATTTCTTTATAAAAAAAAAAAGGTGGGGGGCAACTGGGGTTGTGGCTGAGTGGTATAGTACTCACCTAGCACGCATGAGGCACTGGGTTCGATCCTCAGCACCACATAAAAGTAAAATAAACATATTGTGTCCACCTAAAACTAAAAAAAAAAGTGAATATTTTTTTAAAAAGGAGGGGGATAATTGTAAAACCTCCCTCATTAGATTGTTTTAAGAAGTAAATAAGAACTATCTACAAAGTGCTTAGCCTTGTGCAGAGCACAGAATAAACTCTGTGGTAAAGCAACTACTCTTAGCTGATCTTCTGGTCATTGTTGGCATTGGAGGGGTGCATAGTGGAGCCATGGCCTTTCTGGGTTATGACGAGATACTGTCAACATCCTGTGCATAGCAAAGATACACTAGACCACATTAGCACAATCTCCTGAAGAAAGAATGGGCAACATTTCCCAACTCATCACCTCATTCAACCTCCAGAAACCTTCCCTTTTTTTCACATTTTCCTAACTAACAACCATTATTTTTCCTGCAGTGTGAAAATTAATGGAATGTAAGAGTGAATAAGAGTTGTCAGTGCAAAATCATAGAATTTACAGGGAAATGGATGGCATTAGAGCAGATTATGCTAAGTGAAGCTAGCCAATCCCTAAAAAACAAATGCCAAATGTCTTCTTTGATATAAGGAGAGTAACTAAGAACAGAGTAGGGTCGAAGAGCATGAGAAGAAGATTAACATTAAACAGGGATGAGAGGTGGGAGGGAAAGGGAGAGAGAAGGGAAATTGCATGGAAATGAAAGGAGACCCTCAGAGTTATACAAAAGTACATACAAGAGGAAATGAGGGGAAAGGGAAAAATAATACAAGGGGGACAAATGAATGTCAGTAGAGGGGGCAGAGAGAGAAGAGGGGAGGGGAGGGGAGGGGAGGGGAGGGGAGGATGGGAAAGGCAGCAGAACACAACAGACACTAGTATGGCAATATGTAAATCAATGGATGTGTAACTGATGTGATTCTGCAATCTGTATATGGGGTAAAAATGGGAGCTCATAACCCACTTGAATCAAAGTGTGAAATATGATATATCAAGAACTATGTAATGTTTTGAACAACCAACAATAAAAAATTAAAAAAAAAAAAAAAGAGTTGTCAGTGGTCAGAAAGCTATTCTCAATCTTCCACCCACTGCTACCTTTAAATTCCATGTTGGTTCCCACCCTGTTTGATCAGATCAAATGTCTATTTCTAGTTCTTCAAGTCCTGAGTCCAATATACTACTTAATTATCTTTAGAGTATGCTTTCTAAATATTTTTAAATTATGTACTTAATAACTTTCAATGGCAGAAGCTCTTGAGAGGAGATAGGGGGTTGAGGAAATATGCTAAAGACCTCTTGGAGTATATTATGAAATTCAAATACTTTTGTTGTAAAACAAGTTATGTTAAACCTCCTGAAACATAATCATGGGTGTGGGTCCCTAGCCCCAAATTAAGAATTTACCAATTTCTAGTAAAGCAGAAGATATGACCCAGCATTTCCATATCTAAGCATGTATTCTAGCCCCTCTCACACATGGTCCAAGGATATATGAAAAATGTTTGTTAAAAACAAAATATTGGAAATAATGTCCATCGAAAAGAGAATAGTCACAGACCTGTAATCCTAATGACTTTGGAGACTGAGGCAGGAGGATCACAAGTTTGAGTCCAGCCTCAGCAATTTAGTAAGGCCCTAAGCAACTTAGCAAGATCCTGTCTCAAAATAAAAAAATTAAAAGGACTAGGGATATAGCTTCATGATAAAGCACTTCTGGGTTTAATCTCCAGTACAAAAAAAAAAAAATGTTAACTGGAATACCATGAATCAGTTAAAATAAATGAATTAATTGATATAACTATTTAGATTTCAAAGGCATAATGTTGAACCAAAAAAATCAATGTGCAGGGCTGAGAGTATAGCTCAGTAGTAGAGCACTTACCTAGTATGCACAAGGCCCTGGGATTGAACCAGCCACATACACACACACAAATCAGTTTGCAGATTGATATAGTACAGTATGGTACTATTTAAATAAAAAGAAATTAAGCTGCAAAACAATATCATATGAATATATAAGTGTATATTAAAAGAATGGAAGCTTTCATGAAAATAATAAACACCAAATTCATTATACTACATAGTAGCCTCAACTGTATGCATTTCTCATTTCTGTGAAAAAAGAGAGTGAAGCTAGTAAGGCATAATGTTAACATTTGATTAAATTCAGTAATGGGTTCTTTACTATTCTCTACACTTGTTTGTATGCTTGAAATATCTCATGTTAAAAAGAAACGATTTAAGACTCTTTGATGAATAAAATTTTAACTTTTATCTTTGCATCCTTCTGAATGTCTATCCCCAGATAACAAGTTGTATATAGTTTTCAATGTTTTTGATGATGATTCAGCATGCTGGACCTATCAGGAAGGAGTCCTATCAATGAAAGTAACAAGAAAAGGATCTATGATTAGTACACTTGATGCTGATTGGCTACAGTTAACTACATTTTATTATAAGCAAGGCTTGTCTTTAGTGGATTCTTTTGTATGCTGGGAAACACCTAAAGGTAAGTTTTATATTAATGATATACTTATATCTAAATAATTTGAACTTTTATCAAAATTGTTGAAAATATTTTTGCCTCTAAAGTTCTATGGCTTGCTGGGAGCGTAGGTGTGTGTCTGTAATCCCAATGACTAGGGAGTCTGAGGGAGGAGGATTGCAAGTTCAAAACCAGCTTCAGCAATTTGCAAGGCCCTGAGCATTTTAGTGAAACCTTGTCTTGAAATAAAAAAATAAAAAGGGCTGAGGAGGTAGCTCAGTGATTAAGCACCCCCAAATTCAATCCCTGGTACAAAAAAAAAAAAGTTCTATGGCTTATAGTACAGATTTTATTGTTAGGAAATAAATTCCACTCTTCCACTCATTACATAGCTGTGAAGTTTCAACTTAAAAGCTTAACCATCCTTGAGAACAAACTGACACCCACTGTAGAATTGTAATGTAATCTTTGCCATTGGTTTGCAACTGTCAAATAGACAAATCACTGTGGGACTGACTAGTGGAATTTTCCAAGCACAATGTAGTATGACAGCCCAATCATGAGGTTTATGATGGCATTAAACTGCTAGTAGTCAACATTTATTACATTATCCCAATTTTGGATACTACTACCATATGTAGTCAGTGTATACATACCTATTTTGTGTACAAAAGTAATCTTTGGTTCAGAAAGTGACCCTGTTCTTACTTCGGTTCCTCTTTGTCTTCTTTCTTTAATCTTTCTCAGTTATAAAGGAATACATAATTATTCATGTCTGTCATAAAAACAAACAACAAAAGCTTCTCAACAATGATTTTCTAGAGAAACTTTAAAATGATTAAGAGAGAAAAATTAGTGTTAAAAGAAAAATTTAAATTAAAAGAAATTATTGTTAAAAGGGAGAAAAAAGATAGTAAGGAGACTGAGAAAATGCATAAGGAATCATGAGGGTTATGAAAAGCAGTATGACTTAGGACCCTGTCTCAAACACATTGGTGGAAAGAGTGAAAAGGTAAATGAGATCAATACAACTTAGTATTGTTAAACCAGCCCAGTAATAACTCAGTAAAATGCAATTGAAGACTTTGGATGAATACTAAAAACTATCAGGAGATCTTTTGAACTAGCACTGAGATTAAGGATGAAGCCCATTGCAGCACCTAGAATTATCACTCCTGGCATAGTGCTCAAAAAATATTTTAGTGGGCTGGGGATGTGGCTCAAGCGGTAGAGTGCTTGCCTGGCATGCGCAGGGCACTGGGTTCGATCCTCAGCACCACATAAAAATAAAATAAAGATGTTGTGTCCACCGAAAACTAAAAATGAATATTTAAAAAAATATACTTTAGTGATTTTGGTTATCTGTCTGTTCTTCCACTTGGTCTTATATGGAAATAGCAAGTTTTAATGGGAAGAAAATGGACTTTAAAATCAGAAAGACCAGGACTTAAATCCTATGTCTTTTACTTATTTGCTGTGTGGGAAGTAGGTTGAATTCACAAAGCTTCAGTTTCCTAAAAGGAGTATAATAATAATCTTTATTGATGTGAATGTTAATAAGATACAATGTAGATAAAGTAACTCCCGTGGTACCTAGACTTCAGTGAGAGTTCACTTTCTAAACTCTTTTTTTTTTTCTTTTTTCCTGCCACTTGTTATATATGGTTTAATTCTTGTAGTAGAGATCATCTTTGTGGAGGTTAATTTTATGCTTTATAATATCTGTATCTATCCCTCTCTCTCTCCTCCTCTCCCTCTCTCCCACCACCACCACAAAGAGTCTAAGAGCTAGTTCAAATTTTGGTTTGTGACTAACTGCCTAAGGAAAACCGAAAATACTCTTCACAGTCTCCCTCAGGCACCCCTGCCATGGGCCTTGCCTGATGAAAATAAAATTAGCCACAGCAGTTGCCAACCAGAGACTCTGTGGGGCTTTTGTTCTAAAAGTCTCAGAACTATTTAGAAAGCCCCCGGGGAGACTCTCCCCCCTCAGCAGCTCTGGAATGCCTCATTAGACATTTTACATTGCACACTATGCCAAGCCCCTACCAAGCCACCTCAGTCTGTGGGGTCTGGCCACTGGGTGTGTCATTCAGGACTTCCCTAGGAGTATGCAGGGAAGCTGCAGAGGGGAAATTGTGACCAATGTCTGTGTCGCTGTGAGAAGCAAGACAGAGGAAGCAGGGCTGAATTGGTTGCTTTGTTCTGGGATGTTTGATGCCTGACATCTAAAGCACATAGGAGACAATGTTATTTTGTTCTATCTTGTTTTTGTCCTCTTCCCAAATACTGTCAGAAATCAGCTCACCATGAGAAATGAAAGTACAAATCCAGACATTGCTCAGAAATTTAAATATATTACCTCACAAATCACACTGAATAAAATAGCTTTCCCTGGATATAGAAAGAGAGGGGGGAAAACTCTTTTTAAAAAGTTTTCTACTTTAGCAGGATTATGATGTAAAAGCTGTAAGAGCTGTGAAACTCCTGTGTGATGTCCTTTTATACTTACTATGAACAGCCTTTTCTTTTTTAAAAAACCCCTGGGACACAGAAAGACACACACACACACACACACACACACACACACACACACCCCTGAAGTTCCTACTCTTCCCTAGCCTACCATATGCCCCCATCATTTCAGAGCATAGTCTTTCTCCACCTTAGTGTGCTACCTCTTAGGGATACATTTTGATTTTTTTGTGAACTCTTTTCAGACTTCTCTTGATGTTCATTTCAAAGTATCACACTGAGGAGCGAGATGAAGTAATAACATTGAAACGTATATTTCCTTATTTTACATGTATGTTTATGACAGGCCCTGTGCTAGGCACTGGGTTTACAATAATGAGTAAAATGGATGTCTGCTACACTCAGAAACTAGCATGCGGCATCAGACACTGGTTATGAAGGTATCAAAAATATATTTACCTAATTTAAAAATTAAGAAACAGGACTGTGGCAAGAGTACCAGACAAGAACCTACTTGAAGGGGTAGTCAGGAGGTCCTGTCCAAGAAGGTAGTAATTACTCTGAGATTAGGGTACTAGAAAGGAGCAGGCCTGTGAGAACCAGGAGGGGAGCATTCTAGGCAGCAGAAACACCTCCAAATGCACAAAGACCAGAGGGCAGGAAAGAGGAATCGGGGTAAGACCTATGTAGCTAGAGCAGGATAGGTAAGAGAAAAAATGGCTCTAGACAAAGTGGAAGAGGCAAGCAGCAGCCAGTCTATGCAGTCTTGTACTGTCAAAAAAGCAATAACAAGAGCTAATGTGTAAGATGTACTTAGTATACGCCTGCTTTGTTCCAAATACTGAATATTGACCAACTCTTTTAATCCCCACAGCAACCCTGTGAGATAAGGTTGATTATTCCTCTTTTACATGTGAGGAAATGGAGGCACACAGGTATTAAATAATGAGCACATTTTTACACAACTAGAAAGTAGTAGGGCCACGTAGGTGGAGTGTGTGCTCTTAACCATCAAGCCAGGATGTTTATTTCAATTCATTTGTTGAGTATTTGAAGAGGGAGTCATGATATGATTTGCATTTTTAAAGACAATTATTCAATCTCATTTCAGGAACTGGATCACCAAGGGCAAGAGTGGAAGTGGTAAGGTTGTTTAGAGGATATTAAAAATCTTTAGAGAGATGATGGTAGAGATGGAGAGAAGTAGATGAGCTGAGATTTGTTTTGGAAACAAAATGGACATACTGGAACTGCAGAATGACAGCATATGTGCCTGCTCTCCACTTCAAAGATGGTCCTGGGCCCATCCCCTGGACAATTTAATAACACAAATGACACATGGACCAAAAATACTAAATGAAATATTATCTTTTCTTACATTTAGAGGAATGTCAATGTCATACCTAGCTAAAATGAGTATATAATATCGCACATCTAACAAACCATTCCTTGGTAATCCTCCAAGCTTGAATATTTCTAACCAAGGTATTCTCAGGATATGCATCCTTGTCCCAGGGGGTATTCACGTTCACAAATTTGCAAGATAAATCTCTTTATAGAGTGTCAATATTACTTTAAGATGGGGGTAGAATGGAAGAGATTTTCTTTTTTAGATAAGATGAATATATTTGAACAGAGTGTGAAGCTTTGTTTTTTGGTTTTGGATGTTTTGGTTTGGTTTGTTTTTTTTGTTTTGTTTTGTTTTAGGTACTAAGGATTGAACACCAGGGTGCTTTAGTACTCTGCTACATCCACAGAACTTTTTTTTTTTTTTTTTTTTTTTTTGAGACAGGATGTTTTGCCCAGACTGTCCTCAAATTTGTGATCCTCCTGCCCCCCAGCCTCATGAATGCAAAGTCTGAGTGCACTTTTAAGACATAACATTAGACTTTAAAAGGGATCATTTCAACTGTGCTTGGAGATCATCCTTCAAGGATACAATATCACTTTCATTTGCTAGTGGTAGTATTTGGCTAAAAATCTTTTTATTGTTGTTGAGAAACAATGAGTCAGGCCAGTGCTTTGTAATTTTTTCATATCACATGCACGGAAAATGGTACTACTGTAAGGCACATGGGTATGAGTGGATGAAGCTGCTCTGGGCAGGAGGGGGCGCCCTGTATTTTGGCATACCTGTCACTTTGGTCTCAGACACTAGTGGGCCAAGGCACATTGGTTAGAAAGTTTGCTTTGGATTGTGTAATGTTAACAGGTGATTCCCCTGAGGAGACAGTTATTAGGTAATTGTTCAGAATTATCATCTCTCCGTGTCAGATCGAAGATTTAACACTGAACAGTCAAAAGGTGAAGTCCTTATAGGTCCTTCCCTGCCACCATCCCTAGCTGCCATTTCTGGGAGAATGTCTTAAGAAATCTTCAGAACTCACTCCTGTGGAAGTGTCAGACTTCCGTAGTTCTGAAGCCTGGTATAGATCCTAAGAGAGCTAGTTAGGGGCACTGGGGACCTTTAAAACAAGAAAGGACCTTTATTTTTAACTGACATGCAACATACACATAGTAAAGTGCATTGATCTTATGTGTACAGTGGAATATACACAAAATATAGAACATTCCTGGCATCTCAGAGGGTCTTCCCGTGACCCTTCCTTCTCAGTCCTTCTCCTCCCAGCTCAGAAATACACATCATTCTGGTTTATCATCATCATCAATTGTGCCTGTTCTTGATCCTCACACAGTTGAATACTCTCTACAGAGTATATTCTTTTGAAACTAGCTTCTTTTATTCACCATAGTATCTCTGAAATTCATCCACGTAGTTGCATAACACTGAGTCTCTTTTGTAAATTTCCATTTAGTATTATGTTGTATTTCATTCTTTCTTTAAAACCTAAAAAGTACAGAAATACTATGTATCACAATATTGAGAGTCACAACACCTGTAATTTTCATATTACATAATCCCAACGGAAATAAAAGGTAGATTGTAATTATCCACATAATTATTGCAGTAAAAATTATTTTTAAAACTCATACCCCCGTTCCAAAAAAGGACTTAGGGCATATAGCACTTTAAAAATTGTCTGGATTTGATTCTGCTAGTTACTTTGTTGTAATGGTAGATAAGTAAATTTAAAGGAGGTGGTACATATACTGTAAGTAGAGAACCAATTCCAACTAGTAAATTAACTGTTACTCTGTTCGGGCACAAATCTGAAAAATATAAATTCTTTGTGATATTCTACCCTAAATATGAGTGAAGTTAAAAAAAAAAAAGTAAGAATGTCTTACTTATCTAAAAGTTCAATAGCCTGTTAATGAAAATTAATACAGAAAATCATACTGAAATTAATATTACTTAAAATATTATCTTTAAGCTTAAAATGTCATTTGAAAATATTGAAGTCCTTTATTATTTAGAGAACTGTCAACCAGGGAAACTTCGTTATGACATTGTGCTGCATAAAAACCATGTTTAACCCTCACATGACCATGGGAAAAATGTCTTCTATTGCAAAACAAGAGACAAAAGAAAGTCTACAAAGTTAGTTTGGTTTAGGCCAGCTGGTTATTGTCAGCTATTCAAGAAAAAGTCAGAGAGGCCCTCCCCTAAAACTTCCTTCCCAGCAGGAATTCTTTTGACAATGACTTCTGTTTAGGGTCTTCCTGTCACTGTTTATTTTGGGGGCTTTGGGGTGTTCTTTTTTTAATGCATCACTGAGGTAAAGAATTGTTCTGTTTGTATTTCTTAAAGAATTTGCCTTGCACTGATTTTAATATCATACCTTCAATTTCAAGAATTAATGTTTATATTGTTTAAAGATCATTTCCAGATGATTTTTAGGTTTATTTTCTACTCGCTTCTCATTGTATCACATTATTTAATCCTATTTCTGTTACCATAGTTTTAATGTGGATACTTTGATTTTAATTCAGTGAAGTACAAAATTGTCTTTGCCTTTAGGAGGAAAAGAAAATCTTCAAAAAGAATGTTTGATTCAGTCAAAATATGTTTTTAAGTGATATGTTTTTAACTGAAATGTTTTTCTCCCAGCTTCCTATAAGTATTACTTAAGGACTTAGACAATCTTTAGAATTTTTTAATATTTATAACTCTTCTTAATTGTATGCTTTTCCTCACAGGGGACCATTTGCCTAAATCTTTGGAAGGATTTTTTATCTACGAAGAAGAAGGCTCTGGCGTTCCAGGTTCTAACAGGAAAGGAAATGATGCCATTGTAGTAGAACAATGGACTGTCATTGAGGTGAGTTGCAGTCTCTAACATTTTACTCTTACCTTTATATTTATTTCACATGTTGGAGACCTTCATTGCTGAAACATGTAGAATCCTTAAACACAGATTTGACCATAGTTTGGAATTTCATCACAAATGCATAAAAAATGTCTTTCATACCCTTTACCCAATGTTGAAAGTAATGTTTTCTTCAATGCTAATTTTTGTAAGATAGCAAAATAAAATCTTTACATCAATAGCAGGAGGTTCCAAAAACTTGGAATTCTCACCCTAAACACAGTCTCCTGGCACTGAGATTCTCTTTACACAATGCCATGACAACTGGTTGAAAGCAAAAAAAAAAAAAAATTCAGTCACTCAACTAAGCATTTTCTCTCCAAGCAACCAATGTGACTGACTTTTCTTAACTTTATGAATTGACTTTTGAAAGCAAAAATATCCGAAAGGTGTTCTCTTTCTTACCAGGCCAAATATGTACACACAGCATTGTCCTTCGTAATCAGAGATGACATTGCTGCTGATGTTATGCACTCTGAATTCAGATGTCACCGAATGGACTGCCCTTGAGGTGGACAGACTGAATTCAGGTATACTCTGTTATGTGTATATGGCCCTCGCTGATGGGCTCCTACAGTGACACTTGTGCCTTCCTAGCCTTACAAAGGTTAGAGGGACATAGCCTATTTTCAAAGTGACTAGAAATCCCACTGGGCGTGGGGGAGGTTTGAGGGGAAGAAGTGAAGTTTTCAGTTTTAAAAAACAAATTCCAAATGAATAAAAAGCAGCAAAAAAAAAAAAAAAATACAGCCAAGTTCCTCCCTCCCTCACTACTCAGTCCTCACTCCAAACTTTCATCCTCATTCCCCTAAATATGCTTCATAAAGTACTTGCATCCAAATCCCCTAGAAATTTTTTTTTACGTTTACTATCTTATTTTAATTTCTTAAATTTGTCCTAATTAGTCATACATGACAGTAGAATTCATTTTCACACATTGTATACAAATGGAGCACAACTTCTCATTCTTCTGGCTGTACATGGTACAGAGTCACATGGGTCATGTAATCCTACATGTGTACAGGGTAATAATGTCTGTCTCAATCCACCATCCTTCCCACCTTGACACCTCCTCCCCTCCCCTCACTCCCCTTTTGCCAAATCCAAAGTTCCTTCATTCTTCCTTCATGCCCCAATATGGATCATTATCAGCTTATCAGAGAAAACATTTGGCCTTTGGTTTTTTGGATTTGGCTTATTTCACTTAGAATGATATTCCACAGCTCCATTCATTTACCTGTAAATGCCATAATTTCATTCTTCTTTAAGGCTAAGTTATATTCCATTGTGTATATAAAAATTTTTTTAAATGTAGATTATCAGTCCCCATGCTCTATCAAAACCAAAGGAAGGTCCAAACTCCCACTCTCCACTCCCAGCATTTTTTTTAATATTTATTTTTTAGTTTTCAGTGGACACAACATCTTTATTTTATTTTTATGTGGTGCTGAGGATCGAACCCAGCGCCCTGTGCATGCCAGGCAAGCACGCTACCGCTTGAGCCACATCCCCAGCCCCATTCCCAGCATTTTTAACTTGGTTCAATAGTTTGAAGACAGCAGTAGCAGAAAATGAACCCAGTAATCTGGCAGCCCCATGAAATTGTACATAATAGAGAATGAACTTCCTTTGTCATAATACCCATCAACCTTGTCAGATTTACTTGTGTAACTGTAATTTACTTATGTAACTGTCTTTGCCATTAGATTGTGAACTCTTATGCTTATTTATGCAGGGCTGTGAAATCAAAACAGATTATGGCCCTCTGCTACACACTCTGGCTGAATTTGGATGGCTCCTGACAAGCGTGTTGCCTACACCCATATTGAGACATGACAGGTAATGCAAAAGTATCCTTTTCTGCTCTCATTTAATTCTAAAATAAGTTTACAATTTGTTTAACAAATGCCTGCCTAAAACCTACAAAAATCAGCCAGGCACATGCCTAAAAACCCAGCAGCTCTGGAGGCTGCAACAGGAGGATCGCAAGTTCAAAGCCAGCTTCAGCAAGCAACTGATGTGCTAAGCAACTCAGTGAGATCCTATCTCTAAATAAAATATAAAATAGGGCTGACCATGTGGCTCAGTGTTCAAGTGCCCCTGAGTTCAATCCCCAGTACAAAAAAAAAAAAAAAAACTCCACAAAAATCTTTTCAGCAAATTGCTAATCTGATATTATGGACCTTGGAGATTAACAAATTAAATCCCTTCATGTTACAGATGAACAGATTTCAGCACTACATGTGCAAAATGCTCTCATCCCCAGCTCACAACCAGATTTAGGGCTGCAGTAGGGCCTAGAACAGGCGAGGGTAGAGAAGTATTTCTGCCTTCATCCTCCCCTCCACCAAAGTTGGTTAGTTTTCCCCTAAAGCATGGACTTACTTACTTGCTGTTTCCACTAAAATACCTACATTAAAACCAAAATGTGAAAACTTCACAGTTTTCCTTTTTCTTTTCTCCTTTTACTAACTTTGCTGGGAGGGAAAAATTGAACCACTGAACTTTAATTTTAATTTGTTTTTGAGAGACACCAATTAAATCTTCTGTATAAAATGGATTGCTAGCCATTCAACCCAAAGATGTTCCCTCTGACGTCTTTGGCATCCAGAAGATGACTGATTGCCAAGACTGCTGTGACTGGGCTGGTAATTACTTACACAGGATAGCACAGTACCACTTAACCAAAGGGGCCTTCCCCATTTGCAGAGTTAAGCATGGTTCCACACATTCTGAGTGATAGTCAGGTGTGACTACGGGAAGCAGCTTCTCCTCGTTCTGTATCTCACTTATCCTTTTCACCTTCTCTGGTTTTCCCAGTGTAGCAACTTGGCCCTGCCACTACCTAGCATTCCCACAATCTGTAAAAACATTTGATTGACATATCTTTATTTAAAAACTCCACACCTTCAGAAGGAAGAGGGGTTAGGTAGGGATAGGATTTAAGAAGGATACAAAGTGAAGACACTGAAGTGTAAGAACAACAGCAGCAAAGAAAAAGAGAGAGAGAGAGAGAGAAGTGAAGGGATTAATCAGTTTTTCTTCTAGGCTATCTATTGTAACTATTCTCGAATTGAGTGACAACCCCCTGAAACATTATTTCCCAACTTTTTATATCTGTGACATACCTATCAAATCACAATACAACACTAATTCTTAAGATTTGGGCTTCAGGCCAGGCATGGAAGTATATGACTATAATCCTAGCAACTCCCAAGAGGAGGATTGCAAGTTTGAGGCCAGCCTAAGCAACTCAGCAAGACTCTGTTTCAAAATTTTAAAACAATTTTTTTAAAAAGGTTGGGGATGTAGTTCAGTAGTTAAACTCCCTTGGGAAGCATGAAGCTGCACTTGATTTGACCCCCTTGTGCCAAAATAGTTAAGGTCACAATCTGTACCAAGTTCTTGAGAGACCCACGGCGTTGAGATGGCAGTATATTGTTTCTAGATCAGAGGGAGGGAGGGAGGCTCCAGAACCTTACCACCATTTAAGTTTCCCCTGTACCCTAGATCCTCTAAGCCATTAAGGAGTCACAAAAGTGGATTTTCTATGCCTTCCCTGTGAAAGCTTATCTTCACTAGAATGGCAAAGGAGCTAGTTTCTTATTTAGTCTATGATTTTGAAACTGGGTAAAAAAGTTATGAAGTACTCAAACAATGGAAGAGTATGAAACTGAGAAAAAATAATGAATAGATCCATATATGCATTGTCATAGAATTCTTTCTATGATAACCACTGAGAATTTTTTGGTCTTTTAAGGACAACTTTTAGGATGATTTCAGAGCACAATCCCAATTTTTACAATTTATGTATTTTTAATATATCTAAGCAAAACTTTGAAAGGCTATATAGCAAATTCTAGTGAATGATTAGCTGTCAGGAAAAGGAATTGAGGATTTCTTTGTCTTTAAACTTTTTTAAATTTGTTTTTTATAATAAATATGCGTTTTTAAAATCAGAGTTAAAAAGCAAAAAGTCTATCAACTAACAAAAAGATGTGGAAGCTATACATGGTGTCTGGCTCTGAAGGTGCTTGTGAGAGGGTTAAGTTTACATTTAGTACAGGACATAGCCAAGAGCTTTCATTCTGGATGGAGAAGGTCAAACTTACATATTATATAATATAATCCAGTAACTAATCAAGGGCTAGATGAGAAACATTAGTCTATAGGTTCTATAGGAGTGTTAAAAAGAAGAGGATTATGGGCTGTCAAAGTGAAACAGGATCTTCAAATACTAAGGGGATTCAGGGGAGCATCACCATTTAGCAGATTCTTGCTTAGGAATCTGCCCTGGTGCTGGAGAGAGGGAAGTAGAAAACTGTACTTGAACACCAATTGTCCTTATGCCAGAAGGCACACCACAACACACAGTGTCTACTCTTCCTTTGCAGGCCAGGGAACTTTGTGCATTGAACGTTTATTTTGTTCCTTTACATTTTGTGATTTGGGTCTTTCACGTGACTTCAACAAAGACAACATAAGATGAAGGTTAAGATTCACTGTTGTTATCTGGTAATGAGGATTGTTGGTGAAAACTGCTTATCCTCCGCCTTTTTATTCTTGTTCAAATGCTGTTCTTAGCTCCCTCAGTACACAGAAAGAAAGTAATCACTGAAAGTCCTGTCATCTTTAAATATAAAGAAAAATTACACATAGTTGATCTTGATCAAGTATGATAGAGCCTAAAGTTTTTTAGCTCTGAAACTAGAATGGTTAAGAGCCCAGACTTTGAAGCCAAGAAGATCTTGTTTAATTGTAGCTTTACTTTTTAAAAAAAATTTTTTTTTTAGTTGTCAATGGACCTTTATTTATTGATTGATTGATTGATTGATTGATTTGTGGTGCTGAGAATCAAACCCAGTGCCTCACACATGCTAGGCAAGCACTCTACCACTGAGCCACAACCCCAGCCACAGTAGCTTTACTTTTTACTAGTTGTATGACTTTGAGTGAGGTACCTAACCTCTTTTTATTTTTTAATTTTTTATTTGTTATTTTTATCTATATATGACAGTAGAATGTATTTTAATATATTATACATACATGGAATATAATTTCCCATTTTTGTGGTTGTACATAAAATGGCATTATACTGGTTATATATTCATATATGAACACAGGAAAGTAATGTTAGATTCATTCTACTGTCTTTTCTATTCCAACCCTCCCTCCCTTCCCTACATTCCCCTTTGTCTAATCCAAAGTACCTCTATTCTTCCCTACCAACCCCGCTTATTGTATCTTAGCATCCAAATATCAGAGAGAATATTCAGCCTTTGGTTTTTTGGATTGGTTCATTTTACTTAGCACAATAGACTCCAGTTCCGTCCATTTGACACCTAACCTCTTTAAGGCTTAGTTTCCTTACTGGAAAATTGTATAAGAATGTCACCTCTAGTGAATTAACATTTGATTAAGGAAGATAATATATGCAGAGTACCTACACAGGGCCTGAGCATCTTAGGCTAATAAATTAGAGCTATTATTTTGGAGCCTACACCTTTAACAGAACCAAAATCCCTAATAAGTTGAAACCAATTGTTCAATCATGAGAACTTGTCTTGTCCTAAACAAGGATGTTTCAGAAAATTCAAATACTAGTTTGCCATATACAAAATCAGCATTGTGGGTTATAAGTCAATAAAAGCAACAGAAATAAATGCAACATCATAAAGATATACACCTAACATCCAAAAAACAAATGTCATGATCTTTTTTTGCCCCACATGTCTGATAATATAGCTTAGAACCACTTCTGGTGAAACCTTCCTTCCTTAAATGTGTTTGTCCAGTGTGTAACAATAGTGTCTTCAGCATTTCAACTCTCTCCTACTCTTTCTAATCACCTAAGCTATACTTGAATGGCATTTCCCCTAATTTCCCTCTTTACTAAAACATATCCTATTATCACATTACATAAAAATATTTTCCCCCTGTCTCTAGGTTAAGATTCATTTTCTTAAGCAGTATCACATCACCAAGGTTTAAAGCTGCATTACCATGGGAACATATTGTAATCTGATCTCTCTGCATTACCTAGGGTTATTGTTGTCAACTCTGAAAATGTGCCATATCCCTTTTTAACCATCATCACTGTAATTATACCAATGGGCGGATCCTTTTTCTAAGAAACAAAGGTGAAAATTGACATTAAAGTCTTTGAGACAAATTTAGTGGAAGACCAAATTAGCTGAGCTAGAAGCTCATGATACTGACTTTTTAAAAATCACAGGAATAGCTGGGTGTAATAGCACACACCTATAGTTCCAGCAACTTGGGAAGCTGAGGCAGGAGGATCACAAGTTGAAGGCCAGTTTCAGCAAATTAACGAGCACCTGTGTCAAAATAAAAAGGACTGGAGATGTAGCTCAGTGGTAGAGCACCCTTGGGTTCAATCCCCAGTCCAAAAAAGAAAAAGGAAAAAAAAAAAAAATCACAGGAATAATATGGAAGGAAAAGCCAAAGGATACACCCTCATTTATATCTGAAAAGGCAGAAGCTTTTGGGTACAATTGAATAAAGTTATACTCTACTGAGAATTTTTTTAAGTGTGATCTCTAAAGACAAGATGTGAATAATAAAAAAAAAGAATCGTCTTCTCCCTGTGGTGTCTGGAGCCCTGCTCTTCCTTTCTCCTGCCCATTCAGGAGGCTCAATAGCCTTGTGAGCAGCACAGCTCAGAAGCACTACAACCTGCGGAGTCACTTCTGTGTCCCAATAACGTTCTCTAAATCCTCCTGTGGCAGTCAAAGCAGGACTTGCATATTTATATTCAGTCCAGGGAGAAGCTGGGATTTGATCCATTTCAATGCAGTTCTCTTCCTTTCTAATTTAAA